GGACTATTATTGCACGCACAATCCTTTCCCACAACAAACTCGCATTCAATAGAATTATCAAGACAGCGGTGTAGGCGTCTGAGCTTTATTGGTGTGATCTTACCCGCTAGAGTTCAAATGTGCAAGTTATGAGTGGGCTTTTTGGCAAGTGAGTAGTGATTCTGCAAGGAACACAGTCAACAAGAGTTTCCCGCTTTTTTGCTGCATGCAATATATGTCCTCCTAAAGCGTATATTAGCTGTTAGTCTAAATAGAGTTTCTAGCAAATATAATACCAGAAATGCCTTAAGATCCAACAGACATCCACAAATAAACCATCATTTACACATACTAAAAAAGAGAAAACCTAGAACACATTCTCAAAAATGCAATTTTCTTGGTGTGATTATTAAAAGTGAAAAAAAAAAAAAAAACAAACACCAAACTCGCCAAAAAAATTTGTTGCACCCATTAGTATTGAGAAATTGAATGCAAGATGATGCAACAACACAAGTTTAATCTAGTATTCTGGGGCTGATGTTTCAGAATGCCAGGTGTGAGCAATAGCGGCGAGTGGTTAACACTTTCACAACGCTGTGAAGACATGCAAGCAAATTTTGTCTAACCCACATTGAGATTAGAAAGTATTATTCAGGAGTGTGTTGAGTAAATGTCAATGATTGTAATAACTACAATAAAATTGCATGTCTGCAGGTACAGTGATGGAAGTGACTTTTCATTTTTTGAAGCACACTGCCGAGCAGGAAAAGCATTGTTTTGGAGCAGCCCTAAGTGATTTTTGGAAAGAAAAAAAAAATGTTGGTTTGGAGTGGCTAATAATGTTCTAGGAGCAAATACAAAAAATTTTCAATACACCAATCGGAATTCCAAGCATTGCTGAAACGTCTCGTAAATAATATTTATTATAAAGTAATTTCACATGCAACAAACAATGGAAATTTCAAGAAACAAACAAAAAGATGGCTGGTCATCACAAAATGTGCAGTGAAATGAGCACACATTGTATTTGAGGCAGAAATCAAATCAAACCGGTAAAGCTGAGCAACACATTTTAGAAGTAACCACAGTCCCACATAACTTTTGTCAAATAGGCAGCAGATAATTGGTATGAGATAAAAGCGACCTTGTTAATTTTAACATTTCATCACACTGGCTGGGAAAAAAAATGCAAACGGGCTATTTGCAGTTCTTGTTGCATAAATGAGATCAGACCCGATAATGCTATGCACTAGTACCATACTGAGATGGTGGTACACAGATTCTTTTCAGTTTTTATAGGGCTTACACAAGGTGGTCAAACAACAAAAGCTAATTATTCTGATTCTTTCAGTGCTATTTTGGAGCAGGATTAGAGCAATTACCAGGAAAAATTACTGTTTGGAGCAGCATTTTTCTTTCAGAGCAGTTTGGAGCAATTGGGGCAGCACTTCCATCACTGCAGGTCGTGGTGAAACATTGTCCAGCTGCCAACCACCAGGCAAGATGGTGGAGATATACAACTGAAAACTACCTGGAAATATTTGCCTGTGTGATATCATTGTGCCTACCATGAGAATATGCATACTCTAATTGAAAATAATTTTCATGCCAATGCAATGGCAAAAATTAGCTGGGCATGCTGCAGACAGTCGCAAAAAGCCCCCAAGACATTTTTCGGACTTTCTTTTGGTTCTGGACACAAAAATTCTTTCACACAACAGAACCAAGACACCTTGCCAACAGTCTTTATTTTGTAGAAGAAACTACCGAGAAAGACTGCAGAAATCATGCAGCAAAGTTTTAAAAGATTGTGAGCCATAAAGGGCATCGTATACCACATTTTGCCAGCTACTGCCATGCTCTGTCAACTTGCTCATGAAAAAGCTTGCGTATTCACTTGTCTTTGTGCAGGCCAAACCGATGGAAGGTTATATGTAGAAGAGTGTCAGAACATAAATAGGGAGGCAACAAGACAATGAAAGCAGGTCACGTAGCCATAGAATCTATGCAGGAGCATGTACATCAAGGTAGTTGACAGAAAAGCCATCCTCGGCGACAAAAAACTAATTGAAGGGTAAGAATTCGATGACAGTAGCTATTCTCAATGGTGTCCAGAATGAGATTGCCTCATTTTGCTATTAGTAACATATGAGGCCAAAACTTCAGAAAAGGATAAAAGCTCGTAGGAGCCTAGAAAATATATTTTTGGGCATGAGTGTATCCTGAAGTTTCGTTTCCTTCTGTACATGCTTCTAATCACACGCTCGCACAAGACATTGCTGGTGGAAACAAAAGCGTCGTGAAAGTTCCCAAAATAAATACTGCAGCCGATCATCAAGCCAATGCTGCTAGGTATGCCATGGAAAAACTGACTTCAACATCAAAATAAAATTTCAGCATTTGCTCACAGCCATCTTTATTCACAGGTGAACTGTATTACAGAGTAAACTTGCTTTTTGAATAATGGTGTCAGTGCCCCTTCGAGGACAAAGCAGAAGGCCACGGAATTGAAAAGAATATATTAAAGAGATGGCAAGACCGAGGAATAGAGAGTGAAAACAGGGGCAACGATAATTTGGCACATGGAAAAAGATTTGATCTTAGGTGGTCAGTGAGAGCAATGGAGTGGATACAGAGAGATGTAGCCAAGGAGGATGCATTGAAGGAACTTACAGGGGTGATATGAAACTAGCTCCCACATTACAATAACGAGCAGCTTCCCACCTTAGACAAAGTACTCTCATTTGCCATAAGCTGAAATTAGTAGGATGATGACAGATTTTTCAAAGTATACTACAGGATTATGTCGGCTCTACTATTTCAGCTAGCATGTCTACTTTAGAGGGAGGGGGGCTCAAATAGCAGATGCACATGACAAAAACTGTGTTACATACAAAATATTCATCAATTGAACTGCACAACTAAGCAAAGCGGAAAAAAAAGCCATCAACTTTAAGATAAGAGCAGTCATAACATAATAACAGGTGTGTTCCTGGGAGCCCAAACAAATAGCCTTACTATTCATTATTCACGACTTCTTCCTAACTTGTACAAGTGTCACACACGAAAACAGTGCCTGTGTTGAGTGTCCTGTCCATTCAGCACTATTTTTGTCAATGGTTTAATATCGAGAAGCTGGATGACTACTTCAACTGCACAACATGGAATCACTTGTGTGCCCTAGCCTCCCCTCCCATTGTCAGCTCTGCAGCCACATGGCACTCCATGTTAGGAATGACACATGAAACATACAAATTCCTCCTTGTGCACTGACATACATCTCTCCCCGGTTTGACGGTGTCAGTCATTCACAACCATAGATAATTTATAGTACTTTACTACCGCTGATGAAGTGAGACGTGCATTCATATTCTCTAGGTACATTTACACAGCTTGAACTTTAGTTTTGCTTTCCCAAAACTACTCGTGTTCTTAATTTTAGGGTTCTAGGCACCATTATAGTTTGCACATACAGAACCTTAACATGCCACAATGAGTTCGCATCAAATGTACCATATCATGTAAGTTAAATTACTGCACTACCATTCACACGAATTATATTCCAGTTCGTCACGCAAGATTCTGACAGGAAACTGTTTTAAGCAAGCTTTACGACAATTTGTTGCCAGTTCAAATCTAGATGGCAAATAAGTTGCTCATCATTTCGCTATTTGAAACCACTAATGTTTTCAGGTTACTGCATTACTGAATTTGGTTAACGAGGTGAAATTGCGCAGTTCCAGATTTTACGCATTTACTGTTGCAAAGCGGAATATATTCACCTACTCCGCCTTATTGCTGCATGCGGCCTTACTACAGCCGACTGAATCTACAGCCCCTACACAAATCAGGCCTGCATTTGAAGAGTACTTTAGCGCCAACATCTAATCGAAGCCACATCGTATTGCTCAACGTCACCTTCGCGAATAAATTACGCCGCGACTTCAGGCGTAGCCCGAATGCGCGATATCGCGAGCACACGACGACGAAAGAGGCACGCGAGATGATCACTGCAGAGCTTCGGCAAGAAGGCACTCGTAAAAAGCCGTGCTCAAGATTCCCGCGCACTGATTGCCGCCCCAACGATTCCGAACAATCTGCACCAGAGGCGGCGAAGCCCAAATCGATGTCGGGAGACGCGACAACGAAGCGGACTCGGAACCAGTGTTACTCGCGAACACAACACAGGCGTTGACAGCGGCCGTATCCTTGCCGCAATACGGGAGCAAAAAGAAATAGAATCGAATTTGTAGTAGTCACCCGCGTCGTCCCAATCTCCATTGTGCGGGCGCGCGGAGCTTTACGTGCTAGGCCTAATGTACCGCGAAAGGCGATCGCATCGCCGGAATTTGCGCATACGCAACTCATGAGCAGTGCCCAGAACAGCGACTGCCGTAGCCGCAGCCGTGCTGCTGCGCCCGCGATGTCACCGCCGCATGCCGCGCCAATTTGTGACTGATACGAAACAATCACGCTCGTCCATGACCTAATGAAAAAAACGCTACCCGCAAGCACGCGGTTAAGCCTAACAAAAGCCTGCGAGCCACCCGATTGGCCGATGAACGAAACCGCCGTTTGTAAGAGCGGCCCCTATTGGTCGCGCAAGATGGGCTCTTCCGTGACGCGCGCGCTCGTTGGCTGCGTACTTGTGCGCCTGCTGCTAGGCCTACTTCGTCCTTTTGTTTGGGGCTGGCAAACCCCCTTCGCGTGGAAAACGCGGTCGCGACGCTGATGTTCTGCCACCAGGCATGCTTTCCGAAAAGATCGCGCATCGCGCGCAGCACCAGCGCGATCTTGGATGAGCGTACAACACTTGGAGAGTGCCGGCATTTATCAAATTGTACCAAAAGTGATAGCAGAGACTCATAAAGAATGGCGGGAAAGGTTGGCAGCTTTTGAATTAGAGCCGTCGTGGAGCGCAGAAAAATCGTTTTTAGCATTGAAAACGGACTTATGCGTGATCGGCAAGAAAAAAACGAACGGAGAAGAGCGCGAAATGAATAAGGGAACGTTTTACTCACCCATTTATCTCCTTGGTTGGGATTTTTATACGGTAAATTACCCTCGTATTACCATCAAAGCGTCGCCGCACTACATCTAATCTATTGTGTACACTCTCTCTACCAGACGTTTGCGTCACTGCTGTAGCAGTGGAGCTGGTGGCGCTACCTAGCGGAACCTTTCCGCCGTGTGGCGTCGTCTCACTCAACGCGCGCGTTTCTTTCCACCTGTCTAAAACGTGATGTAAGTCAAAACATTCGGATTTCAGGGGCTTTGCGAGGTATGTTTTCAGTCGAGATATCGCGCTTCTCTCGGAGCACTCGCAATTCGGTCTCACGTCCTGCGGCCGTGGAGTTATTTTACGGGTTCGGAACATTCCGTGTTGGAAACTTGAATTAATGTTCAGTTTCTGTTCTCTCGACCAGCCTTTTCGCGGCTTCTTTGTCAAAACACAGAAGTGGTCACATTCGAAACCGTATAAACTGCTTATTATTATTTCCGGACGTGAATCTACATTCCGGCCAAGATGCAAGCAGTTCGTGAGGTGTTGCATAAGGTTCATTCTAAAGAACGTACTTGACGGGTATGTCTCGCGGTAACAATCAATTGCTGGCGTTGTCATGTTCGATACCGCTGGCGCCTCTTTAGCGCGTTAATCGACCGGCTCGTAAACAGTCGCAGCTCTGTTGTTGTGTTGCCGACTGAGTCATATTTGTTGGGGAGAGTGCCAAGGCTGCTTTTTGTTCTTTCACCCCGAGTGTCAAATTGAGGTGGTACGACGGCTGTTTCAGATGTCCGAAAGCACCGACGACGATCCATCGATCTCAGCATCATCGTTCGGAAATGCGAACAAGCAGCTTAGCCCCTCTGCTGCGGCAAGCCAGTCAACGGAGCGTCGAAGTCGCTCACCGTCCTCTCCGATCCGCTCGTCGTCATTCGGTGCTTCGCCCATTCAGCGTGGTGGTGGGAACACATCGGCTGGAGATGTGTTTGACGACGCCGATCCCTGCGAGAAGGACGTGTTTGGTGTTTCCTCTCGGGATAGCCGCCTGCCGCCGGCTGAGAAGCAGCGAAGAATCCATGGAACCAGAGTGAGTCCCTAGGTGTCATTTGTTTTCTTTTTAAACCGTGCGTTGGAGGTAGTTGCAATATCTGTGCAGCTCCGTACCTGTGTTCGTGTCATCTCTGCAGCGCGCCTTTTCAAAAGCGATTATCCTGGACGAGCACATTTCATTGAGTTGCTTTGCTAGCACACATTTAAATTCATACCCGCAGATGCAGATGAACTATGTAATGTGCTACATTACGAGCTGAACTTGTGGACCTGCGATTAAGGGCAAGGTTCCTTTTGGCGTTGCATAAGTCTGTTGCCAGACTTTGGGGTGGTTGTTGCCAGACTGCGGCTAAATTTGGCGGAAAAGTTTTCTCCTAAAGTTGTGGCTTTTTTGTAAGAGTTTGGTGCTATCCGCGGTGGATTTCTTGGCTGAAAATTTTTTTTCCTGTAGTTGTGGCTTCTCCGTAAGAGTTTGGTGCTATCCGCGGTGCATTGCGTGAGTGCATGAGCGACGCTGGCCGTTTTAATTAACGGAATGAACCAAAAGGAACCTTGCCGATCGCTTGCTAGGCAATATATATAAGTCTGTTGCCACATATGGGTGTACAATCTTTCCGTGTGAACAATTTTAAGTTTGTGCTGTGAGGATTAGGCGACATAGACAAGGCGATTAGGTAACGAAAGCGACTTAGATATCCCGCAGCTACGGCGTCAATAATGTCGTGGTACACGCGCACGCCAAGGAACTACAAAACAGCGTCACGACTAGCTCAGCCAACGCCTCCTAAAAAATTGGTTCAACATGTAGCACAAGGCTGCCAGATTGCATGCAGTCTCACATCCAACCCCTCTTTTTTTTTGTAAAATGCTCGATGGGCTTTTGATATCATATCCCACCCCATTTTTTCTAGGTCTCTTAGTCTTGCAGCCACCAAAACATTATTATCTTCCCAGAATCCTAGAACGATGTTGTCCTTCTTCTTAACACGCTTCATCTTCGTCTGATGCTCGGCCTGTTTTTGTGCCTTGGTGTTGTCCCTAAGTTTCTGCTGGCGCTCTTATGTGACCTGGTTCGACTTGCCCAGTGCATGAATCCCACTTCTTGAATCTCTGCTGCCGCCGTTTCTTGTGACCCTTCAGTCCTTCATCAAGGTAGGGTCATCATCCACCTTGATCTCACCTCCTCCGTCTATAGCCTGGTGACATTTTGGCTTCTCCTCAGCCCCTTTTGCACCGTCCGTTCCACATTTCTTATGCATCTTTTCTGCCTTCATCTCCAGTTTACGATTGATATGTGGGGTTTCACGTCCCAAAACCACTATATGATTATGAGAGACGCCGTAGTGGAGGGCTCCGGAAATTTAGACCACCTGGGGTTCTTTAACGTGCACCCAAATCTGAGCACACGGGCCTACAACATTTCCGCCTCCATCGGAAATGCAGCCGCCGCAGCCGGGATACGAACCCGCGCCCTGCGGGTCAGCAGCCGAGTACCTTAGCCACTAGACCACCGCGGCGGGGCATCTCCAGTTTACGGACAACCTCCTCCTTCTTTTCAACCTTGGGTCGTGCATCTGTCCCAGCTAACGAGTCGGTCCCCAATGCTATTTACTGCATGCTTACAGGAGGTTTTCAGAGGCTTAGAATGGGGAAGTTAGATATAAGAGTTAAAGGAGAGTACCTAGGTAACCTGCACTTCGCAGATGACATTGCATTGCTGAGTAACTCATGATTACTGAATTGGACAAGGAGAGCAGAAAGCTACGTTTAAATATTAATCTGCAGAAACCGAAAGTAATGTACTACGACCTCGGAAGAGAACAGCGCTTCGAGATAGGTAATAGTGCACTTGAAGTTGTAAAAGACTACGTCTACTTAGGACAGGTAGTAACTGCACAACCAAACCACGAGATTGAAGTAACTAGAAGAATGAGAATGGGGTGGTGCACATTCGGCAAGCACTCTCAAATTATGACAGGTAGATTGCCACTATCACTCAAGAAAAAGGTATATATAACAGCTGCATCTTGCCGGTACTTAGCTATGGAGCAGAAACCTGGAGACTTACAAAGAGGGTTCAGCTTAAATTGAGGAGGACGCAGAAGCGATGGAAAAAAAATGATGGGTGTAACCTTAAGAGACAAGAAGAAAGCAAAGTGGATCAAGGAACAAACTGGGATTGAGGATATTATAGTTGAAATCAAGAATAAAAAATGGACATGGGCCGGGCATGTAGCGTGCTGACAGGATAACCACTGGTCACTAAGGGTAACTGACTGGATTCCCAGAGAAGGCAAGCGGGTTAGGGGGAGACAGAAGATGGGTGGGCAGATGAGATTAAGAAGTTTGCGGGTATAAATTGGCAGCAGCAAGCACAGGACCGGGTTAACTGGCGGAACATGGGAGAGGCCTTGCAGTGGACGTAGTCAGGCTAATGATGATGATGACGATCACTGCTTCACAGCACGCGCTCCAGAAAATTTAGCTCTTTTTGAGATAAGGCCACAGACGGCGTACTCACACACAGCTTCGCACATTTTGCAATAGCGTTCGCCTCAATAATTTCCCGTGTCAACTGGTTACAGCTCTGGCCCTTCTTTTCAACCTTGGGTCATGCCAGCTAACGAGTCGGTCAGTTCGAACTTACTGTAAACAATGTGGCTAAAAGCAGCTACAGCCTGTTGGGCCTTTCCCGCTTTTGTGTAGCTCGCAATGGCAAGGGTTTCTTGACTTGGCTTGCTTTTTCTTAGGTTGTTTATAGCAGCTGGCTTGACGTCTTTTTTATTGGGTTTTTCCTCACCATCTGCTAGTTTCTTATCTTGCTGAGATGTTGTTAGAGCTCATTCAGAGAACTGACATGTTCTAGTATAGCCGAGTGCATGCTTGCCTTGACATCGCCTTGCTTCTTTGTTTTAATTTTATTGACCTGCAGCAGCTGGCTAACTCTCTGGCAATGTCCCGGGTCCAGCCATCCAGTCTTTAATGTGAGGGTCCTTTGTTGAAAGCTCTTGATATTGGCACTCAATGAAACCGTTGTCCTCTTTTTAGTAACGATATGGTTGTGTGGAAGGCACTTTAGTGTCATGTGCACAGTTGTGTTACACGAAGAGAGTGGACACAAGACACCATATGCAAGTACTCAAACTAAAGTTATCATCGTAAAGTTATCATCAAAGATAACAGCTTCATACAAACATCAAAATGCAGATGACACGTTAAACTAAATAGACAACTCAATTCACCGGACAGCAATTTTCTCAGTTAAGAGTATAAGACTGTGCATACAGAACAATAGCTCACAGATTGTCCATCATCCGACGCAATGCAGTCATGACCAATGCTCGTTGCTCGGTGGCTTTCGAGTGGTAATTTGCAGCTCTGAATTAATGCTGACGATGGCTGTGACAGACGGAGTTGGTGATATCAACGCTTGGCCTCGCACATAGTTGCGGGCCTCTTCGTCCGTGCGTGCCTGGTAGCGCCCGCCCAATCTGAACTTAAGCGTGACTCTCCTCCAACTGACGCTCTCTGCCCTGCGGTCATCCGACACCAGCCCCAGGGCATGGCCCCTCCTAATTTCTCCCTTGAAATGCCAGTTGCCTGGTGCCGTAGCACTTTTGTTTATGTCTGTTGTTTGAAATCCGACTGTCTGGGGACGGTATTCGAAATTGCATCTGGTGGGACGATTGTGTCTAGCTGCTACCTTGCAGGCAAGCATACTGTGTCTTCCAGGGAAGCATTGCAATCACTACAATCACCCCCCACTTATGAAAGTTGTCAGGGGTACAACTTCTCACTATAGCACTGTCGAGGTGCATACACAGCCACACAAGAACACAAACCCAGTGGTTTATTCCCCAGTTCACTTGAAGCATGACGCGTACACGATGTGAGTATAAAACAACTTTCACAGATTACATGAAATCGCATGCATGTATATCGTAACAAAATCTTGTACACAAACACAAAATGAGTGCTACTTAGTGCAATGAGGTACACATTCCATTTGATACATAACATGACAGAAGGTCACACTCACTCGAAAACGAAATATGATATGATGATTACACCCGGCTCATGTAGTCGGCCCCTACATTGTTGTTGCCCTTTATGTATTGCACGGTTAACTCATATTCCATGAGAGTCGAACTTCAGCGCAGAACACGATTGTTGACATGCCTTGCTGTTTTTACATAGGCAAGAGGCTCATGGTCTCATTGCAAAATGAACGATTTGCCCCACAAGGACATCTGAAACTTTCTGACTGCTTACACAAGCGCCAGACCCTCTCGTTCATGGTCGAATAATTTTTCTCGCATTCCAGCAGCTGGCGACTTGCGTATGCCACGGGATGAAGAACTTCGCCATGTCGTTGCATGAGGACAGCTCCCATGCTTTTAGCTGAGGCATCCGTGCGCAGAAGGAATGGCTTTGTGAAGTAAGGGGCCTTCAATATTGGCTGGCTACAAAGCATCCTCTTTAGCTGTTCGAATGCATCCTGCTCTTTCTTTCCCGAGACCACTTTATTAGGAGCTCTCTTTTTCGTCAGCTCGGTCAATGGGTGGGCCATCTCTGAGAAGTTGGGGACGAAATTCCTATAATAGCTGGTAAGGCCCAGAAATGACCGCATCACTTTCTTCGTTTGCAGAAGCTTTGCTGCTTGTATCTTTTCTAGTGTCTAATAAAACAGTCGCGCTCTGCCCCTCGAGCATGCCTTTGGCCGTAGGAATTCTGTTCTCTTGCAATTTCGTGTACTTGTGACAGTTCGTCGCAACAGAAGTGCCACTGGGTGAAGTGCCCTCTGTATCAAAAGCCCTTAGGCCACTCTCAGCGGTCATACTGCATGAGGCTTAGCCACCTGTGCCAGCGCCATAAGAGCAGGTGTCCTGTTTGTGACTGCCTTTGCGACATTTCGAGCACGTAGGCCCCTTTGAATTAGGTGGCCTCATCTTCTACCAACAATCGGCCGCTCTATGCCCCAACTTATTGCAAAGAAAACACAGAATTTTTTTCTTTGCATTTTGCCCGTCTGGTACTCTCGATTGCGCTGCAGACTTTCCTGGTTCCCTATCCGCTTTGCTTCTTCGAAGGTTCATCAGACCCTGTGCTCCGAGGTAATGGTTCGCAGTCTCCGCAAGCTTGTCCAGACCTCTGCAGCCTCTTTCTTTCAAGAAAACTGCCAGCTTTTCGTGACATCACTGAAGAAACTGGTCTGATATAACATCCCGGAGGTCCTCATAAGTACGCTCCGCCTTCGCCATTTGCTGTCAGTGGTCAAAATATCCAACGAGAGGAGCAGCAAACTGTCTCCCTGTTTCAGAGTTCTCCGCTCTGCAACTCCAGAATTTCGCCCTGTACCCTTGCTCAGTGTATCGAAAACGCTATAGGAGGGCTTGCTTCAGTTTAGCGTAGTCCAATGCGTCGTCAGCTGCCATTAGACTCACTGCGCTCAAAGCTTCTCCGGTTAAAGGGATTGTCTATCGTTCTTCATTGCTCTCCTGTTTTGTGTCTTAATAAAAAGCATACCATGTGAAATGTCTAACCTTGCATCGGTTACTCAGGCAAGTGCATAGAAATTATTAAAACAAAAGCTTTTCGTCCCTGTTATGTCTCCTTCCATCGGTGGGATGAATGCCCACAACACTGGTCGGTGCCCCTGATAGTCGAAAACTGAAATCGCGTGCGATTTTAGCAGGCTTCACCAAATTTGGTTATTAATAAAACAAATAGCTTAGTGGTCGTTTTAGGTATGCAGACGCTTTTTTGTTGTTCTCTTGAGCGGCGTCGGACGACGTGGTCGCGTTTCTCCTCTGTTTGCAGGCAGACATGCAGGCAAGCGAACACACCGCCGGCAGCGCCACTAGGTGCCTATTCGAGCGCCTGAGAAAAAAAAAACAAAAATTTCTCTCTGGCGCAACCTAAAGCTACCTCATCTGCATAAAATACAATTTCGAGTTAAACGTGTTTGTTTTTAAGCAAAGTACGTCTACCTGCAAGGATTTCTCGTTCTACGAATAGATTGTCAAGATTGACCACATTTGCTGTTGGGCGAAGCTAGTGGTCACTTTTTATCGACTTTCAACATCAAGTAAAAATTATAATTCCCTTTTTCTGGCACAAAGGAATGATCGTTGCCGCCGATGCGATGAACGATCTTTTCATTTGCGCCACAATCAGCAAAAATTTTATGAGCGGTACACAGTCCCTTTAAACACAAGCTGAGAGAGAGAGCCCATTTATCAGCTGGCCATCCTTGACTGTTGGCCATTCTTTCAAATCGCTGGACATATGAATCCAGCTCATCCCTTGTCTCGTTGAATGGGGGAATGAGCTTGTGTGGGCTTTGATAACCCTGCACCGAACTAGAGCTAGAAACAGCTCTAGGTAATGGGTCAGTAACAGCCGCGCGAGCTAGCCTTGCCTCCTGTTCATTTCTTAAGCTCAAGCACTGTTTTTTCATCTTGTAGACTACTTCTGGAAGGCTCCCCTATCTCTTTAGTGGCAGCGCTATCGGCTGTACGCTCGTCTCGTTCTTTTGCCCGCTCCTCATTTACCCAGGTCCTTTCGTCTGGGCCTATTATGCCTAGTTACATCCCAAGTTCCAACAATCTTCCGAGGTCCATTCTCAGCCGACACACACCCGCGGTGTGATGCTCTAAAAATGTTAAAAGGGAGCAAGTCCTGTCGTGGACGCCAGTTTTTTGTGGAAGGTACTTCTGTGTCACACCCGCAGGTGTGTTACGCGAAGAGAATGGATGGACGCAAGACACCATATGCAAGTACTCAAATTAAAGTTGTCATTGGAAATACATCGTGAACATAACAGCTTCATACAAACATCAAAATGCAGATGACACGTTAAACTAAACAGACAACTCAATTCACCGGACAGCAATGTTCTAAATTAGAAGTATAAGACGATGTATACAGAACAATAGCTCACAGATTATTGTCTATCATCTGACGCAATGGAGTCATGACCAATGTCCGTTGTTCGGTGGCTTTCCTGTGGTGGTTTTCAGCTCCGAATTAATGCTGACGGCGGCTGTGACCGACGCAGTTGGTGATATCAACGCTTGGCCTCGCGCATAGTTGCGGGCCGCTTCGTCCGTGCGTGCCTGGTAGCGCCTGCCCGATCCAAACTTCAGCGTGACTCCCTCCAACTGACGCTCTCTGCCCTGCGGTCATCCGACACTGGCCCAGGGCGCGGCCCCTCCTGGTTTCTCCCATAAAATGACAGACGCCTGGTGCCGGAGCACTTTTGTTTATGTCTGTTGTGTGAATTCAGACTGTCTGGCGACCGTTTTCGAAATTGCATCTGGTAGGACGATTGCTTCTAGCTGCTGCCTTGCAGGCAAGCATCTTGTGTCTTCCAGGGAAGCATTCCAAGCACTACAGGTTGACATGTGTATGAAGATGCATCTGGCAAAAGGTCAGAAGAGTGCAGAGACCATTTCTGAAGCTCCAAGTCATTATCATCAGTGGCAAAGTGACAGTGACACATATCACATACCCAACTGTGGCACATTCATTGTGTGCTTGTGCAAAGGAGAAGTCTTGTTGTTCTAGAGCCTTGATGATGATGCAAAGTGCAGACATTACTATTATGGCTCGCAAAACATGACAAAATAAACTACATGAAAAAATTGAACAGGAAAGCAAGCAAAAACTAGGAAGAGAAAGAAAGGAAAAAATAGCATATATATGACTGAAAAAAAGAACAAGAAAGAAAGTGACAAGGAAAGATAAACGACAAAGGCTACGCTACTCTGCACTTTCTTCATCTGCCTGAATTTTTTTTTTATGGTCTTCAGTTAATGAGACACAGACTGACTGCTGGAAGAGTTGGTAACTCACCTTAACACCGCAGTGCATAAAGAAATTATAGCAATTCATTCATTCACTGTTTATTCACACAAAAAGCAAAGATTTGCCTAGGTTGAAGGGACGAAAGGCAGATTACCTCTGCCTGACTAAGGTGCCTCCACCCATACATTTGCTCAAGTGAAGTGGAAGAAAGATACAAATTTCATTCTTCTTTTGAATGAGGGCACAAAAAATTCAAATTCAAGAAGTACAACAGATGTCAAAACATGCATTCTAAAATAACGCATAACAGTCATCACGAACTTGCAGTAGCAAGATTAAAAATATATGTACAAAAAACTGAAACCGTGAGAAATTTCAGACAGATTTACTAAGTACCATAAAGAAATACACTTGAAAAGAAAGAAAATGAGCAACTTTCATCAAATGTACAAAAGTATGAAAGACACAACAGAAACAAGTATAATAAATAATACAATTATGGCTCAATACAAGTAAGGAAGTACACCGTGACTTTTTTCTTCGCAATGTTTTTAGTATAACATTCTTCCAAAAGTTCGCGGACATAGAATTTTAGTTCGTGTATGGTTTTCCAGCTCACCCATTGTTGTTGAGTAGGTTTAATGAGACAGGACTGTACATTCCTCTGTGGCAGGTGACTGCGACACCCGAGGAGATCAGCAAGCTGAGCGCGTTGTTGTGCAACCAGATGCCTGCTGAGCTGAACAACCGTGAGGTGCTGAGTCAGCACTTTTCCCAGTTTGGCCGGCTGGAGCATGTTAGCTGTGACCTCAAGCGCAAGTTTGCCACCATTTATTTCAGTGACCACGTGAGTAAAATTTTTTATATATTTAGCAAGCCGGCAAACAAACTGCTTGCCAATCTGCGAGTTCTCAGGCTTACATGATCGAAAGTTCTCGCGAAACCCTTTAGCAGTTAGCCTAAAACGCTCTAGTAAAGTTTTCTAAACGAGAACGTAGTCAAGTGACTCTTGTGCAGGCGTGTGACCGTATACACTCAATGTCTCGCCCGCTAGACACAAACTCAAATAATCGGCCCACTCTCTCTTCTCCCAGTGTTTCCCTACCGCAATTCTTTCGGATAGATGCAGATAGGCACGCAAATCTTTCCTTCGCTCATCAAAGGGTGTCATAAACTTGAGCGGGCAAGTCTGCTTAGGCCTGGGAGTAGGCGAGCTGGTCGACGCCAATGGGGCGGAGGTGGGGGTACTCGCATTACTTGTCCTATTGCGTGCACTCGCGTTTATCTGCGCTAACCTCAACTTGAGCTCGAGAATTTTCTTCTCGTGCTCGTGGTGTTCGAGCATCCGTTCATGTTCTTCACGCGCTCTCTCTTTCTTGTGCTTGTGCTGTTAAACTTCTTTCTGCCCGTTCTCGAAGAACTTCAGAGTCTCCTTCTTGATCATCCCCAGGTCTTTGGTCACGGCCATCAGTTTCTCGTAATCTATCTTGCAACCCCTGACGATAATGTGACTGGGCAGTACAAGGGAAAATCCTGGCAGAGGCTCGCCAATTTATTTGTCACGGGTTTATCTCAGGAGCGCTTGTGAAGGATGGAATTGAGAAAGAGATGCCAGTCGGCGGTGACATGGCAAACCCATGTTAATAATACTCAAAATAAGAAACATTGTGACAGTCAGAATTGACTCCCAAAAAGAGACATGGACACAGTAATCGGCTATATATGTGAAACCAGTATCTGACTCAAATTCTATCTTTTAGCCCTAATCTGTCTCTATTCGAGATGGCCTCTCGTTGGCTACTCTCATAGGCTCCCACAATAGTAGGCCATTCTTACTGTTCCGATGCTACTTCCGGAAGTAAAACGAAGTTGTAAAGTTGTCCTGGAAAATGTCGCTCATTGAGCCACTCGACATCATTGCCGGTTGGTTCCGGTCTTCGTCCTATCCTCTGGCTCAGTTAGGCTACGCCTAAGTCGTCAACGGTGTCTTGACTATGGTGCGGGCCCGCATACGTTCTGTTTCGAAACAGAGGAGCTTAAGTCCGCCCAGCAACTTCTTTGACAGGTTGCGGCAAGTTCGGGCAGCCCCACTCAATTCTCCAGATATCAGCGGCCACTCGCCGAACCTCTTTGCCGACATCCTCAGAACCTGGCGGTTCTACTGCTTTCGTCGCTGTAGCAACATCCGTTTCCCACGTCTTCGCAGCTCGGCGTCTCAACACCCAGTGCCACTCCTCTCGAATTTTTTTTCTCGGCTCAGGTTGTGTGCCACGAGCCTTTCTCTTACCAATCTCTAATGTTAATATTGCGCAATTGTTTCCCCGCGGTACTTTAAATGCGTCGTATTTACCAACATCATCATCATCAGCCTGACTATGTCCACTGCAGGACAAAGGCCTCTCCCATGTTCCGCCAGTTAACCCGGTCCTGTGCTTGCTGCTGCCAATTTATACCCGCAAACTTCTTAATCTCATCTGCCCACCTAACCTTCTGTCTCCCCCTAACCCACTTGCCTTCTCTGGGAATCCAGTCACTTACCCTTAATTACCAGCGGTTACCCTGCCTACATGCTACATGCCCGGCCCATGTTTATTTCTTGATTTCAACTATATCCTTAACCCCGGTTAGTTCCCTCACCCACTCTGCTCTCTTCTTGTCGCTTAAGGTTACACCTATCTTTTTTTTTTCCTAAAGGAAAAAAATAGGCCTATGATGGAAATTTCCATCACTCGCTGTGTCGTCCTCAATTTAAGCTGAACCCTCTTTGTAAGCCACGTTTCTGCTTCGTAGTTAAGTACCGGCCGGATCCAGCTGTTATATACCTTCCTCTTGAGGTATAGTGGCAATCAACCATTCACGGTTTGAGAATGCTTGACGAATGTGCTCCACGCCATTCATCCCCCGAGTTACTCAGCAGAGCAATGTCATTTTGCTTAAAGGAGGTTTTCAGTGACCTAGAATGGGAAGAGCTAGGAACACTCATTTTGTGTTTGTGTACAAGATTTTGTTACGATATACATGCATGCGATTTCATGTAATCTGTGAAAGTTGTTTTATACTCACATCGTGTACGCGTCATGCTTCAAGTGAACTGGGGAATAAACCAATGGGTTTGTGTTCTTGTGTGGCTGTGTATGCACCTCGACAGTGCTATAGTGAGAAGTTGTACCCCTGACAACTTTCATAAGTGGGGGGTGATTGTAGTGATTGCAATGCTTCCCTGGAAGACACAGGATGCTTGCCTGCAAGGTAGCAGCTAGACACAATCGTCCCACCAGATGCAATTTCGAATACCGTCCCCAGACAGTCGGATTTCAAACAACAGACATAAACAAAAGTGCTACGGCACCAGGCAACTGGCATTTCAAGGGAGAAATTAGGAGGGGCCATGCCCTGGGGCTGGTGTCGGATGACCGCAGGGCAGAGAGCGTCAGTTGGAGGAGAGTCACGCTTAAGTTCAGATTGGGCGGGCGCTACCAGGCACGCACGGACGAAGAGGCCCGCAACTATGTGCGAGGCCAAGCGTTGATATCACCAACTCCGTCTGTCACAGCCATCGTCAGCATTAATTCAGAGCTGCAAATTACCACTCGAAAGCCACCGAGCAACGAGCATTGGTCATGACTGCATTGCGTCGGATGATGGACAATCTGTGAGCTATTGTTCTGTATGCACAGTCTTATACTCTTAATTGAGAAAATTGCTGTCCGGTGAATTGAGTTGTCTATTTAGTTTAACGTGTCATCTGCATTTTGATGTTTGTATGAAGCTGTTATGTTTGATGATAACTTTACGATGATAACTTTAGCTTGAGTACTTGCATATGGTGTCTTGTGTCCACTCTCTTCGTGTAACACACCTGCGCACATGACACTAAAGTGCCTTCCACACAACCATATCGTTACTAAAAAGAGGACAACGGTTTCATTGAGTGCCAATATCAAGAGCTTTCAACAAAGGACCCTCACATTAAAGACTGGATGGCTGGACCCGGGACATTGCCAGAGAGTTAGCCAGCTGCTGCAGGTCAATAAAATTAAAACAAAGAAGCAAGGCGATGTCAAGGCAAGCATGCACTCGGCTATACTAGAACATGTCAGTTCTCTGAATGAGCTCTAACAACATCTCAGCAAGATAAGAAACTAGCAGATGGTGAGGAAAAACCCAATAAAAAAGACGTCAAGCCAGCTGCTATAAACAACCTAAGAAAAAGCAAGCCAAGTCAAGAAACCCTTGCCATTGCGAGCTACACAAAAGCGGGAAAGGCCCAACAGGCTGTAGCTGCTTTTAGCCACATTGTTTACAGTAAGTTCGAACTGACCGACTCGTTAGCTGGCATGACCCAAGGTTGAAAAGAAGGGCCAGAGCTGTAACCAGTTGACACGGGAAATTATTGAGGCGAACGCTATTGCAAAATGTGCGAAGCTGTGTGTGAGTACGCCGTCTGTGGCCTTATCTCAAAAAGAGCTAAATTTTCTGGAGCGCGTGCTGTGAAGCAGTGATCGTCATCATCATCATTAGCCTGACTACGTCCACTGCAAGGCCTCTCCCATGTTCCGCCAGTTAACCCGGTCCTGTGCTTGCTGCTGCCAATTTATACCCGCAAACTTCTTAATCTCATCTGCCCACCCAATCTTCTGTCTCCCCCTAACCCGCTTGCCTTCTCTGGGAATCCAGTCAGTTACCCTTAGTGACCAGTGGTTATCCTGTCTGCGCGCTACATGCCCGGCCCATGTCCATTTTTTATTCTTGATTTCAACTATAATATCCTCAATCCCAGTTTGTTCCTTGATCCACTTTGCTTTCTTCTTGTCTCTTAAGGTTACACCCATCATTTTTTTTCCATCGCTTCTGCGTCCTCCTCAATTTAAGCTGAACCCTCTTTGTAAGTCTCCAGGTTTCTGCTCCATAGCTAAGTACCGGCAAGATGCAGCTGTTATATATACCTTTTTCTTGAGTGATAGTGGCAATCTACCTGTCATAATTTGAGAGTGCTTGCCGAATGTGCACCACCCCATTCTTATTCTTCTAGTTACTTCAATCTCGTGGTTTGGTTCTGCAGTTACTACCTGTCCTAAGTAGACGTAGTCTTTTACAACTTCAAGTGCACTATTACCTATCTCAAAGCGCTGTTCTCTTCCGAGGTCGTAGTACATTACTTTCGGTTTCTGCAGATTAATTTTTAAACGTAGCTTTCTGCTCTCCTTGTCTAATTCAGTAATGAGTTGCCATTCATCCCCTGAGTTACTCAGCAATGCAATGTCATCCGCGAAGTGCAGGTTACCTAGGTACTCTCCTTTAACTCTTATACCTAACTTTCCCCATTCTAAGCCTCTGAAAACCTCCTGTAAGCATGCGGTAAATAGCATTGGGGAGATTGTATCCGCTTGTCTTAAACCCTTCTTGATTGGTATTCTGTCACTTTTTTATGGAGCACTATGGTGGCAGTTGATCTTTTGTAGATTTCCTCCAGGATGTTTATATATGCTTTGTTGACGCGCTGATTTCGCAGTGTCAGCATGACTGCTGACATTTGTACTGAATCAAATAACTGTACATCTCCTGTGATATTGGTTTAAGTGCCGGGAAAATATCCTAGGCCTTGCATCGATTATTGACACCTTAACGCCATATCTCGAGAGCTGACTTACTAAATACCAAATCTAGAGGAGAGGATAGAAACGGTGTCAAAGTCTAATTATATTTTTACGTTAGACCTTGTGAGAAGGTATTGGCAAGTCTCCCTTATGGAGCGTGCTAGCCGCTATGCCACATTCGTTTCTCCATTCAAAACGTATCGTGCATTTATGCCGATGAAGAAATCGCACTCAAGACGTGCGCATTGCA